GCCTTTATCCCCGCACCGCGAGCCTTTATCCCCGCACCGCTCCCGCGGCTCTGCATCGCGCTGAGCTAGGACCGCGCTAATCTCCCTGAAGATTAGGGAGGGCTGACTGCTGCAATTGTCCCCGGGGCCGCAGCGATGTTTGGGTCCCCAGGGCGGCCTGGCTCTGCAACCCTCCAAGCCCAGACTCACAGTTTGTCACCCTCAGTGCAGACCCCGGTTCCTGTGCCCCAGGGCAGGGCAACGCCCTCCGCAGGAGCGATGCCAGGGCTTGGCCCACCCAGGTCCCACACTGATGGCTCCAAGCCTTTGCAACGACAGTGCTGCTGTCGTCCTGTTATTCTCAGCTGCAGACCAGAGGCCACCCCTGCAGGGTCTCTTAGTGCACAGGAGCAGCCAGACATCCAGCATGGAAGAAAGCAGAAAATTGGGATATTGCTCCAAATCCAGCCCAGCTGGCACCCCCAGACACCCCCCCTTAGGACCCCAAGCATCGGGCTAACAGGTAATAGCAAACACCTGCCACCGAACGCAGCAGCCCAGGCTGGCATCCCCAGCCCCAGGGCTCCTTCCCTGGCATGGGATCCAGCCAGGGCTGTGCCATCCCACCCCGGCACTCACCAGCACGGCGGCACACGGTGTGATAGTCCCCACAGCAGTCCCCTGTCCTCTCACAGTACGAGTCACAGTAGCAGCGCGACCGGTGGGCACTGGGGGCCCAGCAGGCGTTGTTCCTGCCCGGGCAGCACCGCTGCCAGCAGCCACCCGTGGCACCCACCAGGTAGCCAGTGGCCAGCAGCCAGCTCCCGCAGAGCAGCAGGCCCCACATGGCACCAGATCCCCACAAAACACTGAGTGACAGCTTTCCCACTTCCCTCCACACTGGTGAACAGTGGGTGAGCAGCGAGGGCTGGAGCCCTGGCTGCACCGCCCCTGGGCCGGGCAGGGGGACAAAGCCTGTTCCCTTCTGCTCCACTGACCCTCACTGTCCCAGCTCTTTGCTCTGCAGCCAGGGTGAGGAATTAATAAAATTAACTGGGATGGTTAATAAAATGCTGTACGTGGGACGATGCAATCCTGAAGCTACCTGGGAGCAGCTATGAAGGGGCACTGCTGGGCTCCCCCAGGAGCACCTTCTCAGCCTTGGAGGGCAGGACTGGGGTGCAGCAGGGGACACCATACCCAGACCCCACCCACACTGAAGGAGCTGCCAACTCAGCACTGCCTGGACACCAGCAGGGCCGCTAAAGCCAGACGGATTTTATTCAAATTGCGAATGTAAAACAGAATAATAATAAAAAAAACAACCAACCAAACCCAAACCTCACTGGCTTCAGAGCAGAAAGCCGCAGGTAAACCTTGCCTGGGCTCTTCTTTTCCTCCTTCACCCACCCTCCCGTGTTAAGGCTGCATTTGTCACTGGTGACAGGAGGGAGGAGGGAGGGGCCGAGCCCCGGCTCCCGTGACCCCCCCGCCTCCTTCGTGAAAAGTTTGGCACAAGTTCGGTGGGGCCAAGCCTGTTGTGGGGCAAGGCAGGGCTCTGGCCCCACAGCTGTTAGTGGGTCAGCACGAAGCTCCGAAAGCTACAGGATTACCTGGGGGGCCGCAGCGAGGTCAGGGCAGATCAGATGGGAGGGAATGTGGCAGAAGAAGGGGTTTGCAGCCCCGGCCGAGGGGCCGTGCCCACGGGGCAGGGCGGCACCCCATGTAAACGGCAGGTGATGGGGGCACCGGGCTCACCCCAAGCCCGGCCCTGCAGCGAGGAGAGCTAAAGGCCTGGCTGTATGTGCAATTGTGGGCAGCGCCTGCTCAGCAGCCCAGAGCTGAGTGGGAGCTGGGGACCAGGATGCTGCACCCCAGGGGGGCCTGGTGCAGGCAGGCAGGAGGGAGGAGGGGGCTTGGGCTTGCACCAGCAGGTCCGTGACCTCCTGTCCTGGGGGATGCAGGGCTGGTGGGTCCCCCTGGAGACACTGTGAGACCCAGCACATCGCTCCCAGCTGCTGGTGTTGGCCCCAAGAGCCTCTGACAGCTGCAATGCCTGGTGCACAGCTTGGCCATTGCACCCACATGGCTCTTGGGGGATTCTCAGCACCCCCAAAAAACGGCCCCAGAGTAGTCGGCAGTTTGTGGCAGCTGGAGACTCCGGGGTGGGGGGGCACAGAGCCACCATCCCAGGGGACACCTCACCCTGGATAACCTTGCAGGTGATGCAGAACCAGGGAGAAATGTCACCAAGGGACTGGGACAGGCATAACCGGGATGCTGGGGGTGTGGGTGCTGAGCTGCTGCTCCCTCCCTGCTCCTTCCAGCACATAAATTATAATTTAACCTGCTCCAGCGCCTGCTCCTAAACATAAAGGTGGCCAGGATTGGGGGGAGGGAGCGTACACGGGGCAGAGCTGGCCTCGGGCTTGGTCATGGCTCTCCAGCTGCAGCCCTGTGGGGCCAGGGAGGCGGGGGCCACCCCTGCCCGCCCCCCTCAGTCCGTTTTCCACACTTTGTTGAGGAACTTGACCACCTCGTCGTAGATGACGAAGACAATGGCAACGTCGAGGCAGACGCGGCCCAGGCGAGGCACCGTGCCCTTGTAAAACCTGCCGGGGAGAAAGGGGTTCCATGGGGCTGGGTGCCCTCCCAGCCCCCCTCTCCCTGCCCATCCTCCCCACCCCAGCTGCCCCCCATGCCACCCCTGCCCCCCTCCCCACTCTGCTTACGCCAGGGGCCCTTCGTATTTCATGATCTGGTAGGCGCGATCCCCAGTTCTCTATT